CTCTGATTACTAACCTATTAAATAACAGTGATTGTTCTCTTTCACAGGCATTGCACAAACGCAGAAGTCAAACTAAATTGAGAGCAAAAAAGCAAGGCAATTTTGCAAGCAATTTGTGTGAGATTTGAGTGTGCACTCCTGAAGCTACTTGAACGAGATAGAAGAATCAGTTCCGTTGTGTCTTTCTTTTATTCTAGTTCAATTATTGTAGGTGGTTTAAAGTTGTACTTTTCAGCTTTCATAGAAGCATTTGTATTAGGTACTCAGAGTTTTCAAGTTAGAGTTAACTTGAAGTTGTCGCAGCAGTTGAGGCTGTGTGCCACAACGGGATTAGAGTTAATCCTTAGGTTTACAAAGAGTTTTTGTAAATGCTGTTTTGGCTCAGTGATTTTAGTGGAAGTTTGGGAAAATCCTACTGAGTAGTAGGTCGTGGTTTTTTCACCTTTTGAGCCAGGTGTTTTCCACGTAAAAATCTCTGTGTTCTTTACTTTCAGTATTTATTATTCCACAAACAGTAGTAGTTGGAACACCTAGAAGAACCAGGTTCTTCTATAGAGTAGTTAAACGAAAATTGGGTGCCACACAAATCACCCTCCCCCCTCTTGTCTGGCATTGACGCTTAACACTTTACGGGCTAAATCCACAAATCAAGTCTCATACAGAGTGACTGTCATAGAACCCTGCTACAGACACTTGAACTGCCTCTAGTAGTCCTCTCTCCGAGTGACAGGAAGATACTTATCAAGAAATAGCCGAGAAGACTGGTCCCAAGTAAGAGCCGGCGACCCAGCTGGTCTGGCCAAACAAAAATCCCTCCACCATTTCTTGGCGGAACCTGATAGACGAAAGGCAGCAAAGTCGACCCCATTGGTCTTCAATACCCCCATGTTCCATAACAGCTCGTGACAACTGTCCAGATAGTCTTGGGGATCCTCTAAAGATGTACCACCATAGTGAGTAGTGAAAAGCTTGGTAAACCTATCCAATCTCCACAAAGTCTTAGAAGACATAGCTTATCCATCGCCGGTCTATGCTGCAACACCCGACGGAACTACCCCAACTGGCTGAGCTGCTGGAGTCTGAAACTGGGGAGCCATCTGCTCCGGAGTGTGAGCAGCGGGAGTCTGGGCTCATACCCCATCCTGAGAGACGGCAGGTGCTACATGGAATGTGACGGTCTAAGCAACACTCTCCATAACGCCCACTAGACGGACCAAAGCATCCTAAAGCATTGGGTGGCTATGAACCCCTCTGGAACCTGAGCTGGTCCGGCAGAAACAGTCTGGGCCGGAACCTCATCATCAAACTCCACCTGAGGCTCCACTACTGGTGCTGCTGCTCGAGCTCTGGGCTGAGCCCTGCCCCTGCCTCGTCCTCTGGCAAGGCCTCGACCTCTGCCCCTCCTAGGATCTGCCACTGGGGCTCTGGCTGCAGCTCAGCTGAAGAAGCGGTATGTGTTCTCACCATTTGTGAAAGAACAAGAGTAGAGTGTTCAATTAGCATTGAGAGATCAAATCGCACGACAGAGAAGTTTATAAGTGAATTTTTTCCTAAAACTCTGTAGCCTCTGGGGAATAAGCACAGACTTCTCCGTACCGATCCCTCAAACTCTACTAAGTATGTTCGTGAGTTGTGAGACCTAAGTTACCTGGTGCTCTAATACCAACTTGTCACGATCCGGATTTTCCACCGTCGGGATCGTAATGGAGCCTAACTTTTCAAATGCTAGGCAAGCCAACAGATCAAGATTTAATACGCTAAGCACTAACCAATTCAGTAAATAACAGCAATTAAACCAAAAACAGATTAAAGGAGTGCAGAATTTCATAATAACCCAAGTACTTTTACACGACTACCCAGAATGTGGTGTCACAATTCACGAACTTCTAATAGTCACTACAAATACTGGCTGAAAGAAAGTACAACTGTTCTCGAATTAAAAGAAATAGAAAAAAAAACTAGAATAACTAGAAGGGGACTCCAGGGTCTGCGAACGCCGACAGATCTACCTTGGGTCTCCTGTTGGACTGAAGGCAGCAGCTCTACTCGGGTCAACACAATCCGGTACTGAAATCTGCACGGAAAGTGCAGAGTGCAGTATCAGTACAACCGACCCCGTGTTCTGGTAAGTGTCGAGCCTAACCTCAGCGAAGTAGTGACGAGGCTAGGACAAGACACATACATAAACCTGTGCAATTAAATAATATACTACCAGAATAAAATTAATAGAAGCTAAGCGGAAATTAACGAGAGGGGAAGCATGCTAAGGGGGTTGCAAGATAAGGAATCACAGCAATAGAGGAATTTAAACAGCTATTATACCTTGAACCGGTAATAATAAGTAAACACAGCAAACAGAAAATACACGGCATCACCCTTCGTGCTTTTACTCTCAACCTCACCAGATAATCAATAATAGGAACGTACACGACATCACCCTTCATGCTTTATCACTCAACCTCACCATATAAGCAATAGAAATGTGCACGACATAACCTTTCGTGCTTTATCACTCAGCCTCACCACGTAAACAATAGAAACGTGCGCATCATCACCCTTCGTGCTTTATCATTCTTCCTCACCATATAAATAATATAAACGTGCATGGCATCACCCTTCGTGCTTTATCACACTACCTCACCAAAATAAGAGACAACAATAATAGGGAAATAGAATGACAACAACAAGTCTTACTTCAACACTTAGTCCCACAATACCAATCTCAACTTTGAATAAATTTTCAACCAATACCAACCTCAATAAAACATGATAAGAGATTACTCAACACATTGAATAGCTAGTTTAAACATGAAGAATATGATCAAAACATACGACATCTACAATAATAAGACTCTCTCATATGCTATGACTCGACAACAACGTATAGGTACTCGTCACCTCACCTATACGTTGTACTCAATACCCAAACACGTAACAAGTAAGCAAATAACACCTAATCCCTCAAGCTAAGGTTAGCCACGACACTTACCACGCTCCCACGGTCAAACTCAAAGCTCAAACACCGCTTTTCCCTTCTCACGAGCCTTCGGACCAATAGAATCTAGCAAATTACCAACCAAACAATTCAATTTAAGCCTTAGGAACTACCCACGATTGCAAGGAATTCAATTTAGGCCATTTTGGGAAAAGTCAACAAAAGTCAACATTCGGGCTCGCTTGGTCCAAACCTGAAATTCGAACCAAAATCCGATTACCCATTCACCCCTGAGCCCGGATATACAATTGGTTTTGGAATCCGACCTCAATTTGAGGTCTAAATCCCCAAATTTCGAAATCCCTAGTTTCTACCCAAAAATCCCCAATTCCACCATGAAAATCCTAGATTCTAGGTTGAAATCTTATTATAAGAAGTGAAAGATTGAAAAAAATGAGTTAAGAATCATTTACCTATGATTTGGGGGAGAAATGGCCTTTGGAATCACCTCTTGAGGTTTAGGTTTTTGAAAATTTGGGAGATGAATCAAAAATCCCGTCTAAGTCCCTTTTGCACGGCTGCAGATGTCACATTTGCCACCTGGGCTTCGCAATTGCGAAGAGCACAAATGCAAAGAGGCCATCGCAAATGCGAGGTCCTTCACATTCTGCTGCCTTCGCAATTGCGAAGGTAAGCTCGCAATTGCAAACATGAACCTCCGCAAATGCAACAAAATGATCGCATTTGCGATACTGCCCCTCCCAACTTTACTTTGCAATTGCGAAGACTGTATGGCACAGCTTCTCTTCGCAATTGCGATGAAAGCCTCGCAAATGCGGAATCTGCAGGCTTCGCAATTGCGATGCCTGATCTCGCAAATGCGAGATCAGAGGCCTGCAACAAGTTCAGTTATACCAGCAAATTTTTCCTAAGTTCAGAACACCCTGTAGCCTATCCGAAACTCACCCGAGCCCTCGGGGCTCCAAACCAAATATGCACACAAGTCTTAAAATATCATGCGAACTTGCTCGTGCGATCGGATCGCCAAAATAACATCTAGAACTACATATTTAGCACCAAAACACATGAAATTCCCAAGAACACTTTGAAATTCCTATTTTCACAACCGGACGTCCAAATCACGTCAAATCAACTCCAATTTCCACCAAATTTTACAGATATGATTTTAATATTATATTAAACCTGTACGGGGCTCCAGAACTAAAATACGATCCCGATACCAACGAGATAAAACATTAATCCAATTTCTTTAAACCTTAGATTTCAGACTTACAATTTTCGTCAAAAATTTATTTCTCGGGCTAGGGACCTCGGAATTCGATTCCGGGCATACGCTCAGGTCCCATATTCTGATACGGACCCACCGGTACTGTCATAACACGAGTCCGGATCCGTTTACTCAAAATGTTGGCTGAAGTCAACTAAATTAACTTTTAAAGGTAAAAATTATTGTTTTTATCAATTTTCCACATAAAAGCTTTCCGGATACGTGCCCGGACTGCGCAAGCAAATCGAGGAATAAAAGAGGTTTTGAAGTCCTCGGAACACGGAATCGAGCCCTAAAACATAAGATGACATTTTGGGTCATCACAATCTACAATCTTTTTTAACTCTTTTTTTAATCTCCTTAGCGAAAACCCTGCCTCCGCCACTGCCAGACTGATAAGTTTTTAAAGAATGAGTAAATATGATATTTTAGGTAAATTTCATATTGAAAAAGAGAATCAAATAAGGTTGTTATATACTAAAACACAAACTTACATGGTACGGTACGCACGTAAATGTGACGTAGCTCAAGAGGCAAATCCATATGCCCCATTGTGCAAAAGTGAACAAGACATACGTTGATGGTCAATCACTATTCTTTTGTGTGGGGTGGGAAAAGGAAAAAAATAAGCTACCCTGACAACAAGGTAAAACATTTCCAACCATGAATTTTGGCACTAAATGTTAAAAGCGTATTGGAGGATAATGGTTCTTGCCTCACTTTTCAGATTTCACTATATGTATATATAATGACCCATTCCTTTTAGAATTTAGATTCTTGATACCCCACAATCCTGTCTCTCCCACATCCCTTCCCACCACTTGTATTATTGATTTTTTGTCCCTTTTCTGCTCTCTATTTAAAGTGTTTCTCGCTTTCTTCTTCTCCTTAGTTTCCCAGTTACAATAATTCATTCTTGAATAGCAGGTTTGAACAAAAAGTTTTGAATCTTTATTTTACTTTTTGTGGGATTATAGGATATATATATATGTATTGTCCAGTTAAGTATGGTCTAAAGCTGGTTTACTTATATAACTAGCATTTCTCCGTGTTTTGTTGATGAGAGATTTGCCTGGGATGTCACATATTTAATAGCCAAGCGTACTAGTGATATTGTCTGCTTTGGACCTAGGCCTGCGGGTTTTAAAACGCGTCACTAGGATCTAAGGCTTGTTTACTAATATACCCAGCATCTCTCCTGTGTTTTGTCAATTCGATGTGGGATTCCCCTGGGTGTCACAGTATAAGAGGGTCATAAACTTTTTTATCCTTTATATTGCAGTTTTGCTCAGATAAGATCAGGGGTATACTCTGTTCTTTTTGAGTTATTGTCAAGAATCAAGATATATTTAATGCTATCACATGTTTTTGTGACCTTGCCTTTACTGAGTAAAAAGTTGCACGTTTACTCCTGAAAAGTGAAAAATATTAGTAGTACTAACATTGGTAATTTCATTTGGTGGCAGGTTTGAAAACAGTTTCAGTTTTCTCATCTAACAATGGGAAATGAGTTTCCATCATTTTCAACAGCAAATGGTCCTCAAGAAAGTTCAAACTATGATGAAATATTCATGCAGCATAGTTTGCAGTTCTCTGATAGTTTAAAGGTAGATGCTTTAATTTCTCCACTGCAATTTCTATGCTTTCATGTGATAAGATATAAATCTTGGTTTTATTATGGTATAAGCGGATGTTTACATTTTTATTTACGTACATATAAGGGCAGTCTGGTGGACTAAGCTCCCGCTATGCGCGGGGTCAGGGGAAGGGCCGGACCACAAGGGTCTAGTGTACGCAGCCTTACCCTGCATTTCTACAAGAGGCTGTTTTCACGGTTCGAACTCGTGACCTCTTGGCCACATGGCAGTAACTTTACCAGTTACGCCAAGGCTCCCCTTCGATAGCATAAAGAGCTTTATACTATCAATGCAATCTTACTGTGGTATAGCAGGTTATCACTTTATTTTCTAAGTTATTAAGTTATGATACCAGACTTAAAATAAAGAGTTATCTATTGATGTACTCTAAATTTTATGGTGTCAAAATTCTATACAATGTCAGTATACAGAACTTAAACTCTTGGTTTGTGGTAATTAGGACTTGAAGAATTTAAGGAAACAGTTGTATTCAGCTGCAGAGTACTTTGAGTCTTCTTATGGGGAAAATGAGCACAAAACATTGTAAGTCTAAAGTCCTTTTTATTATTGAATTTTTTTAGTGGAAAAAAATTGTTAATCCTTTGGAGTTTTCCTAATTCTTTGTTAAAAAAATATGTGGTACAGAGTGATAGAGACTTTGAAAGATTATGTGAGTAATGCTTTAGTTAGTAGTGTGGATCATTTGGGCTCAGTGGCATGTAAATTAAACAGCTTCTTGGATGAAAAAGTTGATGAATTTTCTACAACCAAGCTTCGTTTCTCATGTATGGAACAGGTAAGGTAACATTTACCGATTCCCCCTTCCCCCCCCCCCCCCAGACACACACACACTAGAAGGTTCATTTACATTAGAATATCTCACATTGGTGGAGAAAATATGATCTTGAGCAATCCTCACCTCATAAAGATAGTTTTAGGCCGGAGGTCAATTTTGTTTTACGTGCTTTCAGAGCCATACTTATCCATGTTCTCGGTGTACTCAATGTTGGGCCTAAAGGTGGATCTAGTGCAATAGGTTTGGGTTCACATAAACCCAATAATATTTGCCTATACCCTGTTTTTATATTAATAAGTCCATTAATTTCATAAGAATATTCAGTTTGGAACCCAATTCATTGGTCCGATTACTACTGTATATCAATTTGAGATCATGTAGGCATCCATAAGCTTAAATTCCTGAATTCGCCTCTCGTAGGGCCTCCATGCAATGTTGTCCACGTCCTAATGTCTAGCAATGGGCGTGTAAGGGAGGGGTAGGGGGTGTTAGAATATCACATTGGCCGAGGGAACGAGTTGTTGTTTTCTTGTATAGCTTTGGACAATCCTCACTTCACGTGTTAGTTTTTGTGGTTGCCTTAGGCACAAAGTCCTTTTTTCCCCCTCACTTCATGAGTCGTCTGTCTTACCATTTCCCATTTGGTTACTCCTAATTAGAAACTGCAAACATGCCAAGAAGTTGTTGATCGCAGTGGCCTCTTGCAACAATCCTTTGTAATTCTGACTCCAAAGCAACATAAGCGGTACTTGATTTCAGGCAATGATCTTTTTTCCCTCCTCTTCATTAGTATTGTTTTTACATTCAATACTTTCATAAAACAAACAAATGTGTTTTGCTTCAATTTCACTCTCAAGTGTTCACATTTTGCAGCTGCAGAGATACAACCTGCAGTTCTAAAACCTCTACAAAGACATAAGGAACAAAACCCGTGTCCTCAAGATGACCTGCAGCTGCCTAAGCAGGGTACTTTATTTCTATGTTGCTCGGACTCTCCAAAAATGTTGCCTCGCCCGTGTTGGATCCTCCAAAAATGCACTACTTTTGGAGGATACGACACGCACCCGTCAACATTTTGAAGAGTCTGAGCAACATAGCTTTATTTGACATCTTCTTGTTCTTTTCGTGCCTTTGAACTCTGTTGAATTGTATGACCATCTCGTCAAAAAGTTTAAGTCATTAGCGAGAATACACTTTTTATTCGCTTAATTATATCTTTAACAACCTAAACTTTAAAATAAGATGATCATACAATTTAAGGAGGGGCGTGTTAATACACAACATCTCTCAAGCAGCTTAAACTTTTAAATGAGATAGTCGCGTAATTTACCAAGTTCTTTTAATCTTTGCCCTTTTGTAGTTCTTTTTCTTCTTAACTTTCTTTGATTCTTCTCTCTACCATTAGGTGATTGTTTTCCTCATCCTTTTCAAGCTCTACCACCAAAGCCCCATCCATCTAAACCAAAGTACATGTAAGTTTTCAATAAATGAGGATACTCCAGAAAAGTTTTTCTTTGTTAAATTGCCTTTAAAATCAGTAATCATATTAAACATTTTGGCACATGAAAAGGCATTCCAAGATTTCATGGACAGATGCTTCTCCAAATCCTCTCAACTTCTCGTTCACAAGGGTTGCATCCACCAAAGAAGTTGGTAAGTACCAAATTAAATTCTAGTTATACACAGTACAATTGATGAATGGGAGTCTTGGCGTAACCGGTAAAGTTGTTGTCACGGGTTCGAGCCGTGGAAACAGCCTTTTGCAGAAATGCAGGGTAAGGCTGCATAGTATAAACCCGTGTGGTCCGCCCTTCCCCGGACTCCGCGCATAGCGGGAGTATAGTGCACCGGGCTGCCCTTTTACACAGTATAGTTCAAAAGACTTAGTAAATTATCACGGATTTACCTTCGTGTGTAGAAGTTGAACTCAATTAACACATTCAATAATGAAACAGGGAAAAGATCAGTTTCACCACTTAAATTTGCTCTCAAGCGCTCTGGATCTGTCAATAGATCAGTTTCTCCTCTTATGCGCTTTGGATCCGTTATCAGTAGATCAATTTCTCCCAGCACTTCCAATAAAAAAGTGAGGGTAAGGACATTTAGCAAGTACATTATGTTTGTGGCAAAGAAAAGTTGTATCTGTTCATACTAAATGATTGTATTATATGTTTTTGGATAATATTACAGTGTCCATCTGAGCCACGGCGGGCAGTTTCATTGTCAATAAATCCAGAAAGAAATGGTGCAAAGGATATTCAAGACTACAGCAGAAAGAGTAAAAATGTACTTACAGCATTCCTCAGCCTTCATGGTCATGGATCAAGAAAGGGAAATATACCTTCAAGATACCGCGACGACAGATGATGAAATCAGAAAATAGAGATATCTTCAAGCAATTTGGAATTTTGGATGCATAAAGGTTGTGTTACCCTTCTTCTACAGCTAAAAGGCAATGTTTTGATAAATAGATGGTTAAGTATGAATAAGCATGGGAAATGAGAATGGAATCATGAAAATAGGAACTGGCTTACTTCATGGGCAAAGAAATGAAAATCCCAATAAAAGAAAGTTCAAAAACTGTGTAAAATGTAAACTACTATGCCATTTGCAGGGTAATGCCAACATCTCCTTTCAGAAATGAGATTAAATAATTTGAATAAAGAGGAAGAAAGACAAAAGGACTGAATGTACAATGGTGCTTAATCAAAGAATAATCGAATTAAGTAAGAGCGATGTAATTGAGAGTTCATTGCCTTCGTCTTGTAACCATACAAATTGGAACTTCTCTTGTACGTGTAATTTGTAAGTTCATACACGTTATTATGTCTCCAATATTATTGTCTAGCAAATACATCAATTTTCCGTTTAATATTGTGATGATCCTGTCAAATAAGTATTATCCTTGTAGAAACTGTGTAGTATTATAAAACATATAGTCTATCAACAACAACACACCTAGTGTAATCCCACAAGTGGGGTCTGGGGACGGTAGTGTATACGCAGACCTTACCCCTACCTGGAAGGTAGAGAGGTTGTTTCCGATAGACCCTCGGCTCAAGCAAAATAGTGTAAGTTAATGAACAACATCATTTTTGAACTCGCAATGAAAAATATATTTTGAGGTCTTACTATTCCATGATATGCATATGACTGGTGTGATAAAGCACGGGAGAAAATATATTATTGATTAATATTCTATGTTACAATGAGCCCTACTTATATGTATTCATAACACATAACCTACTCCTATTACATAAGGGACTAAGACTAATTACATATATTCACATAACTATTCTAACACTCCCCCTCAAGCTGGTGCATATAAATCATATATACCGAGCTTGTTACATATGTAGTTAATACGAGGACCAGTGAGGGTCTTGGTAAAAATATCTGCAAGCTGATCATTAGAATTCACAAACTTTGTAGCAATATCTCCCGAGAGTATCTTTTCTCTAACAAAGTGACAGTCAATCTCAATGTGTTTAGTTCTCTCATGGAATACGGATTTGACGCAATATGAAGAGCAGCTTGACTATCACACACAAGTCCCATCTGACTAATCTCACCAAATTTCAACTCCTTGAGCAACTGTTTGATCCAAACTAGCTCACATGTCGCCATGGCCATTGCTCGATATTCTGCTTCTGCACTAGACCGAGCAACTACATTATATTTCTTGCTCTTTCAAGACACCGAATTTCCTCCTACTAAGACACAATATCCAGACGTAGAACGTCTATCAGAAGGTGATGATGCCCAATCAGCATCTGAGTAACCAACGATCTGCTCATGGCCTCGATCCTCAAACAATAAACCTTTGCCTGGAGCTGATTTTATATATCGAAGAATGCGGACAACTGCATCCCAATGACTATCACAGGGAGAATCCATAAACTAACTCACAACACTCACAGGAAAGGAAATGTCAGGTCTAGTCACTGTGAGGTAATTTAATTTACCAATCAACCGCCTATATCTTGCAGGATCGTTGAGAGGCTCCCCCTATCCTGGCAGAAGTTTAGAATTCGGATCCATCGGAGTGTCAGCAGGTCTCCAACATGTCATTCCTGTCTCCTCGAAAATATCTAAGGCATACTTTCATTGTGAGATCACAATACCTGAGCTAGACTAAGCAACCTCAATACCCAGAAAATACTTTAACCTGCCTAGATCCTTAGTCTGAAAGTGCTGAAAGAGATGTTGCTTCAATTTATTAAACGACCAGATAAATACAGGATTTGAAGCAGAATGTCGATAAAACACAGAGTGATCAGCTTCACTACGAGTCATGCCAAACTCCTGAATAACTGTGCTGAACTTACCAAACTAGGTTCGAGGAGACTGTTTTAGACCATAAAGGGACCGACGCAACCGACATACAAGGCCACTAGACTCCCCCTGAGCAACAAAACCAGGTGGTTGCTCCATATAAACCTCATCCTCAAGGTCACCGTGAAGAAAAGCATTTTTAATGTCCAACTGATAGAGAGGCCAATGACGAACAGCAGCCATGGATAGAAAAAGGCGGACTGATGCTATTTTAGCCACGGGAGAGAAAATATCACTATAACCGAGTCCAAATATCTGAGTATACCCTTTGGCAACAAGACGAGCCTTAACTCGATCAACCTGGCCATCTGTACCAACTTTGACTGCATACACCCAACAACAACCAACAGTCGATTTACCCGAAGGAAGAGGAACAAGCTCTCAAGTACCACTCATATGTAAAGCAGACATCTCATCAATCATAGCATGTCGCCATCCTGGATGAGACAATGCTTAACCTGTATACTTAGGGATGGAAACAGAGGACAAAGATGATACAAATGCGCAATGGGATGATGACAGATGATGGTAACTTAAACCGACATAATGGGGATTAGGATTAAGAGTGGACCGTATACCTTTTTGTAGTGCAATCGGTTGACTAAGAGGAGACAAGTCCGCAGTATTAGCAGGGTCAGGTGCAGGACGTGAATCAGCTAGGCGTGATGCTGGGCGCGGACGACGATGATAAGTCAGGAGTGGTGGATTTGTAGAAGGTTGAACTGGATTAGGTGGTGGCACTGGAGCTATAGTTGGTGGAACTGGACTAGGTGGTGGCACTGGAGTTATAGGTGGTGGAGCTGCAACTGGAGCTGTAGGTGGTGGAGCTGCAACTGGAGCTATGGAGGAAGATGAATGGGAGATAGTGACTAAATCTCCAAAAGATGGAACTGGTAGCACCTCAAAAATATCTAAGTGATTACCTGGACCTGTGAAGTATGATTGGGTTTCAAAGAAAGTGATATCAGCAGACATAAGATACCGCTGGAGGTCAGGAGAATAGCATCGATATCCCTTTTGCGTTCTCGAGTAGCCCAGAAATACGCACTTAAGAGCATGAGGAGCTACTTATCTTTTCCCGGAGTAAGGTTATGAACAAAACACTTCCTCCCAAAGACACGGGGTGGAAGAGAGAACAAAGGTAAGTGGGGAAACAGGACAGAGAATGGAACTTAAGGCTGGCATCCGGTCCGGGCCCGGTCCCAAACGGGCTTTGTGGTTTGGGCTCAAACGGACCCGGTCTTTGTGGGCCGGGCTTAAACGGACCTGGGCTTCATGGGCTTTTGGGTGTAACCAGACCGGGACCGGGACCGTGTAGTAATGGTCTCGAGCTATGTGGGCCGGGCCCAGGCCCAAACGGGCCTAAATGGGCCTAGACTACTTTTTTACCTAAGGCAATTTCTTGTAAATTATATTAGCTTATATAAATTATATATACTATATCTATATCTATAATATATATATATATATATATATATATATATATATATATATATATATATATATATATATATAT